ATGCCAAAAGTTTTCTGACTCTTTTCATCCTTTCCTCTACAACAAGAGGTCATAGATGGATCTATTTTTACAGTGCTTTCTAAATGTAGATTTTCAATATGTTTTGGTTTCTCTTCCCTTGCATCCATATAGAATGGCTTAGTTAAACTAACATATTAACCATCTTAAAAGAAACAAATCAAGCACGGCCCCTTTAGAATATTTTACCACAAAAATCATCTCAGTCCTGGGCTTAAAACTTCTCTCTTCCTCCTGGTATGTCTGGGTTCTTTTAAAATCAAGATTATGAGTTTTTAGGAAACTTAAGGATGTTTGGTCAATGGTTTTATCTATGGGGTCATGACAGATGGAATACTCGGCTATCTACTGTGATCATCTTATAAAACAGACTGGGCACTTCTATGAGGTCATTGTTTAGAGAATCAAGTAAACAAGTCAAGCAGGGGGAAATAGTGAATTTGTCATGCTATCTGAGAAGCTTAGAATGGCAAGTTTATTACAAAAGGTGAAAATGTGATCCAATCATGACACCTTCTTCCCTTTGAGATAAATATATCATTAAACTGAGTCAGTCAACATTTCAGGAGCAGTAAAAATGGCATTGGAGATTATACCAGGAATATTACTAATGGTATACAGGATGCAGAAAGAACACCAGACTAGGAGCCCCTCATAAGCCATGAAACTGATCACACTCCTAAGATTCAAAGTTCCCCTAATTCAGAATGTGGGGCATGGCATGGATTTGATAATCTTATCATTTTCTTTCCAGAATCATTCAGTGGCTCCTCATTAAGTTCAGAATACACTTATTACTAACTTTATTTCATTTAAAAGACATTTTATGACCTTGCTCTATCCACATTTATAGTATTTTATAACACTGTCATCCCTGTACCTCAGTTCTGTCTAAGAACTGTTTGCCTTTTGAAAAGCTATGGCTTTGGCCGGCGCTGCGGCTCACTAGGCTAATCCTCTGCCTTGCGGCGCCGGCACAACGGGTTCTGGTCCCGGTCGGGGTGCTGGATTCTGTCCTGGTTGCCCCTCTTCCAGGCCAGCTCTCTGCTGTGGCCTGGGAGTGCAGTGGAGGATGGCCCAGGTGCTTGGGCCCTGCACCCCATGGGAGACCAGGAAAAGCACCTGGCTCCTGGCTCCTGCCATCGGATCAGCGTGGTGCGCCGGCCGCAGCGCACCAGCAGTGGCGGCCGTTGGAGGGTGAACGAACGGCAAAAGGAAAAAAAAAAAAGCTATGGCTTTTTTAAAAAAGAATATTTACCATGTGCAATATGCTGTGCATTCTATGGTCTTTGACATATTATCTCACTTGAGGCTGCCTGAAGTAGCTACTATGATTTTCCCCCATTTTACATGGGAGAGCGCTTCCAAGCTCAGTCTCAGATAAAATCTCACCATGTAGGGGGTCCTGAGGTTGCAATTAAGTGCAATAAGTCAAATGCTGACAGATAAATACTGCACATTTTCACTTAAGTGTAGAATCTAAGACAATTGAACTCATCAAAGCAAAGAGAATGGTGGTTATCAGAGGCTGGGTGGTTGGGGGAATGATAATAAAAGGGTAGAAAGCTTCAATTGGGTAAGGAGTACGTTTAATTCTGTAGGATTTTTTTTTTTAGTTCTATTACACAACATGGTGAATAAAGCTAATAAATGAGTGCTGTACATTTCAATATTGCTTATGTCTCAAATGCTGTCACTAAAATGTCTAATATTTGAGATGCTAAATAGGTTGATTCATTTGATTTTGTCATTTCATATTGCTTTCAAAAATCATAAAAAGACTTTGTAATAAAAATTAAATTAAAAACAGAAAGAGATATTATTACAATTCTAACAGGCTATGCAATACATAAACACTAATACTATCAATTCTAAGGAATAGGCAGAAACTGAAATCTTTATATAGTGCTGGTGGCAATATTAAATAGTACAGCCATACTGAAAAACCAGCAATTCCTTAAAAATTTAAGCATATACTTATTCAGAAAGTCCTACACATCTACCCAACAAAAAAGAAAGCATATGTCCACATAAAGATATGTGTGCAAATATTCACAGCAGCATTATTTAAAATAAGCAAAAAACAAAAACTGGGAACAATGCAAATATCCATCAGTTGGTGAATGGATAAACAGGAGAGAGTACAGCCATGCAATGCAAGACAACTCTGCAATCAAAAATTAAAACAAATGACTGATACATGAAACAGGAGAGATGAATCTCAAAAACATAATACTAAGTGAAAGATACCAGACTCAAAAGACTAAATGTCATATTATTTCTTTTATAATAGGAAATGAATTTATATAAAATGCAAAACTGTAGAGGCAGAGTGCAGAACCAGTGGTTGCTTGAGACTGGGGTTGGGAAAAGGGATTGACTGCAAACAAACACAAAGGAGCTTCAAGGGAGGTGATTGAAATATTTTAAAATTGGGTTGTGATGATGGCTGTACAGCTGTGTATGTTTACTGAAAATTATTGAACTATACCCTTACATGGGGTGAATTTTGTAGTCTCTAAATTATGCCTCAATAAAACTTCTGAAAATTGATCCAAGAAAAAAGGTAAAATTTAATCCAGAGACCACATCCTCTAAGAAACCCAAGGCTCCCAAACAGAATTAGCAACCACTTACTCAGGGCTCCTGAGTAACTGTTTTTGTTTTTAATTTTGCTAATCATATTGTGGACACCATACTGTGAACTAGCTGCCTATCTATCTTTCTCCTATTATTATGAGTACTACAAGGTCAAGCACCATGCCATCTTTGTAAAACAAGTGCCATGTTTATACTTGGTAAATAAATGCCAAACTGAAATGAAAGGTTCAACTGACAGAGATGAGTGAAGATTAAAACAATGTCTGCCACCGCGTTTTATTCTTGTTCTATGACTTGCTTTGTTCACTTAAGAGACTGGAAACCTTCCTTAAAGCTTGCATGTTCTGGTCTTGAACACAGAAATTGATTTCTGTAGTTCTTATCTCAAGGCTCCACAAATCTTTCTGTCAATCTGGAATTGTCAGTGAATAAAATTTATTAAGCCTCTGTTGGGTGAGCACTGGATTAGGGATGGAAAAGAAGATGTAGCAGGCCTAATCCCTTCTTTAGGAAGTTCGTGATTTAGGAAGTATAAGAGTCTGAATCAAAACAACTGTGAAATATACACTTCAATACTATGAATAGGAGGTCTGGTTGTTTTCCTCATTCATGCTATAATCTAAATAAAATTTAGTCTCACTTGCTATCCTCCCAAAATTTCTTGAATTATCAATTCCCCAATCTCTTTCTTGAAACTTTTCCACCCTTAAGCTCTCAAACATCTCTCATCTGTTCACTATTTTTAAAACAGTGTGTGGAATTGCACTGTTGTCGGAGACTTGAATTGCTCCCAAATGATTTTTCAATAGGGGTAATGATCATTTTGGTACTGCAATGCAATAATCGTCATTTTGGTATATAATGGGTTACTACTTGTTTTGGTATTATTTGAAAATTAGAATTTAGTATTTCTTAGATTTTTTTTTTTTTAGAATTTTTTGTTCCTTTATTTTACAGAGTACTTTGTTATTTTTTTTAAACTTTTATTTAATGAATATAAATTTCCAAAGTACGACTTATGGATTACAATGGCTTCCCCCCCATACCGTCCCTCCCACCCACAACCCTCCCCCTTCCCACTCCCTCTCCCCTTCCATTCACATCAAGATTCATTTTCGATTATCTTAATATACAGAAGATCAGCTTAGTATACATCAAGTATGGATTTCAACAGTTTGCTCCCACACAGAAACATAAAGTGAAAAATAATAGATGATTTTTTTTTAAATGATGATGAAATCAGATCAGACCTATTGTCATGTTTAATCCCAGTGAGAGTCAAGTTGGGAATTGATAATTTCTTTTTTTTTTTTTTTACAGAGGATCAGTTTAGTATGCATTAAGTAAGGATTTCAACAGTTTGCACCCCCATAGAAACACAAAGTGAAATATATTGTTTGAGTACTCATTATAGCATTAAATCTCAATGTACAGCACATTAAGGACAGAGATCCTACATGAGGAGTTAGTGCACAGTGACTCCTGTTGTTGACTTTACCAATTGACACTCCTGTCTATGGCATCAGTAATCTCCCTATGCACCAGTCATGAGTTTCCAAGGCTATGGAAACCCTCTGAGTTCTCCCACTCTTATCTTGTTTAGACAAGGGTCATAGTCAAAGTGGAGGTCTCTCCTCCTTCAGAGAAGGTACCTTCCTTCTTGATGACCTGTCTTTCACTGGGATCTCACTCGCAGAGATCTTTTGCCAGAGTGTCTTGGCTTTCCATGCCTGAAATACTCTCATGAGCTTTTCAGCCAGCTCCGAATGCCTTTAGGGCTGATTCTGAGGCCAGAGTGCTATTTAGGACATCTGCCATTCTATGAGTCTGCTGAGTATCTCACTTCCCATGTTGGATCACTCTCCCCTTTATTTACTCCATTGGTTAGCGTTAGCAGGTACTAGACTTGTCTATGTGCTCCCTTTGACTCCCAGTCCCTCCACCATGACCAACTGTGAACTGAAACTGATCACCTGGAACAGTGAGATGGCATTGGTACATGCCACCTCGATGGGATTGAAGACATTAATACAAAGTATAAAAGTTCTAATTCCCTAAGAACCCAATAAGATTTTCCAAAAAGCACATCTTCAAACCCTTCCTTTATTCTTTTCCAAATCCAGAGATAAGACTATTTGCTTCATCTTTAAGCTCTGAGCTCACCTTCATTCAGTAGTGTGCTTTCCCATTTAATCACATTATCATAGACCTACTATTTATTCCCATCTATATGTCTATATATTTTTTCTTTTCTTTCTTTCATTTCTTTTTAGACAGGCTAAAATGCCTTAGCCAGCCCTGGCAGAAGAGGCCACAGGGTTTCAAAATAATGCAAGGAAAAACCCATCCTTCCTCCTACACTGTTGTGTAGGGACACTTACGTTGAAATCATACAGCACACCAAAGTTTGCTGCCGATGCCTCTTCAGCTCTGGGAACCGTTTTCCTAGGTAAACTGCCGTATGGCAAACCCCAGAGGTACTATAAGGAGAAGTAAAGAAAGCATTAATAACTGGAAATGAAGTCTGAGCCACACATGGGATCACAAATGGTTTTGTTTAAAAGCACTTCTGAAACTTTTTCATGGAGTCTCCATGTGGGGTCCCATTTTCTGAGAATCGACTACTAAATCCAGAGTTCAGAACAAAGGGAGTGCTAAGGACCCAACATCGTGAGCTCAGTGGACCACCAGCATTGGGCCCACCACATCTCCCAGGAGGTTTGCTAAGACGCTCCACTTCCACCACCACCCCAAACTGGGCTGATGTAGAGCGTGTCTGCAAAGGAGAGTTGACTTCTTGGAGCACAGTTGTGTTCAGCAGAACTGCTGAAACACCTCCGAGGGCTAGGGGTCCAGGGATTCTCTCCCAGAAGTCAAGGAAGGGAGGACTCAAGAACACAAATTGTGTAATTTGAGGATGTAAGTGGGCATACTTGCATCTGATTGTGCTATCAACTTGATCCCTAATTCAGGGCAAGTGCCCCCAATTTGGTTTACCCTATTAGGAGAGAATCACATGGGGGAAAATAGCACTGGAGAACAGCTGGCCCCTACAGGGCAAGAATAGGGTCACAGGAAAGCACGTTGATGAGAAGGGGGAAAAACACCTCTTAGGCCCCAGGGCTTGCCAAGTGCATGCTGATCCTTATGTCACATGGAAGCTTCCCTGCCCTGGGCTGGGGGCAGAGAATGAATACAGCTTGAAGTCTAAGTGCAGACTCTGCCTGGGCAAGGTCTAGAAATCAGGCCCTGTATCTGCCACACAGGCTGCACCATCTTCCACGGCAACCTTCAGTCCTTCTGGCTTCCTGGGTAGGAACAGAATAGAAATGGGTTCTACGAGTCTGTCTCATCTCAGCTGGGGACACAGAAGACACATGAGATTAAGTGTCAGACTTGCTAAGGAACGATGTGAGCTCAGGGCAAAAGGACATATACCTCAAAGGGTGCTGAGGATGCTGGGAAGAGGCAGAGAATAAACATGGTCTTGTTGCCAGCAGATGAACAGCCAAGGCCACTGGTCAAGACTCGCCTGCGGGGCACCTGTCCTTATCCTCTTTGGTTCTTACCCTGGAGTTAGTAATCATCCGCAAGGAAATAGGATGCCCCTCAATATTTAACCCAAACCTCTAAAAAAAGCATTCAAAGCCAATATGTGTCCTAGCTCCCAGAATACATCCCATCCTACACATACTCACTGTATTCACTGCATGGGAGAGATTCTGTATTTTCAGACTTCAAATGAATTAGTGAGAGCCCTTAATTTCCCCCACAAGGAGGCAGCATGGTGTGAGAGAAAGTAACCGTGACTGATTAAACTCTATTTACACCTGTGTCTGACACTAAACGGTATCACAGTGGCCAGTGAGACAGTGAAGGAATTTCAGGCTTCCTTAGAGAGATGAGCAAAACTAAAGCTGGGGTTACTTTCAAGTGAATGAAATGCATAGAAAATTTTGCACTACCTGAAAGTTTACAGGACTTCAGATCTACATTCTCTCCCTACAATGAGCCACACAGCCTTCGACTTCCAGAATTATCAGGGACTATAAATCTAATGAATTAGAGTGCAAAATCTTGGGAAGAAGATAAAATCATGGGTCCTATTCCAGAATGGCTTAATAAAACACACATACACACACACGCACACACACACAAAACTCTCCAAACTCTCTGAGATGTTCACTCAGTTTTCATATGCTTCAAATGGGGGGAGAAAAATTCTTCTAATGTCGACCTCTGAGGGCTGTTGTGAGGCTCGGTAAGTAAAAGAAATGCTAGCGCATTTCCACTATTAAAAGCTAAAACCCCTTTTGAATACAGGGCACCATTAATAGTTAATACTATTATGCTAATGAGGAGATCTGGTTCAGAAGCAGGCACTGATTTGAAGCGATGAAGATTAAGAAGTCACAGAAAACATCAGCTTGTGTCTATTGCCACTGCTGCCTTGGAAAAATTACTACTGAAATAATGGTACTTTTCTAGGATCAATAAAATCTAACTCAACTTCTGTGGTAAACATTCAAAGACCCCAGCATCACTTGATTTTTGTCCTTACCTGGGCTCAAAGACAGCTTTGAGCAGATGGTTTTATTTTCTGACTTTGTTCCTAAAAGTCCCCACCCCACCTCACCCCACTGCACGTGTGTGTGTGTGTGTACATGTGTGTGTGTTTGCATGTGTGTATACCTGGGCCATGTTCACATTTGGGAAGAGAGTGTGCTCATCTTATGTCTTCTCAGTATAAAGAAGCTAGATGCTTCGAATTCCATTAAGAAGCATTGCTTTAAAAGCCAATTTGGCAAAATAAATCAAAACATCTCACAAGGTATCAAAGCGTCCTCTTCAGCAATGGTTCTTAACATCAGGCTCAGGGACCACCTTGAGAATCTGCGAGAAACCATGAACTTTTCCACATAAAACACGCACTTAAATACACATAGGACATTTGTTATCCATCATTGCAGGCTCACACACTCTTTGGAGAAAGGACCAGGACCTTTGGTCCATGAGCACCGTCGTGAAGGTTAACCTTGTCATAAGTCCTCCGATTGTAAGAGGTGAATGTAACCAGATAGTAATTCTACACTGAAAGAAGAGATACAAATTTTTCTAGGAGAATGATCGATTCCATGAGAAACTTTTCAACACCTTTTGTAAAAACTGAAAGCCAGTTCTCACCTCTGGCAATATGATGAGGGTGAATGTCAGGATAAAGAGAACCATGTTTACTCCATACATCCATCTCAGGAAGAGGAAGTAGGAGGCCACTGACGAGCCGAACTGGCCTATGACAAAGAAAACAAAAGGGTTGAAAGGGAGATCAAAGCAAGACAGAACAAAAACTCAATATTGGTGACCCTCCAAGATAAATGTGCTAATTCGGATGCATGAGTCCTCTTCACATTTACATGCTCTAGCGTTATTCTTTCTTTGTTCAGGAACAGGACACGTTAACCACGATGGACATGCTCCTTGGCAGGGAGCATGGAAAATGCACCTGTGGAGACTGTGACTTACCCCTCCGGAGTGTATCCTGGGAAGAGCTACCTTTTGCTTGGCAGCTATGACTGCCATCAGCAGAACCGATGTTCTTTGATGAGTTAACACAGGTAAATGAACAAATACAGGCAAAGTGCTAGCTATGGTCTCTGGACAGAAGTTAACTACCATTATGATTATTATTGCAGTTGTCTCTCTTTCTCTCAAGCAAACAATGTCCTTTTCAAATACCTTTCCCACATCCCTTATCAATGGTTTTCCACCTGGTCATCCAGTGTTGTTTTCCCTCAATTCTGGCATTTTCAGGGACAGTGGAGAAGCTGAAATCAATTCATTCTCTCACTCCAAACATCTTTACCAAGGATCTTCTGCCAGGAATTACCTTTGAGCCAAAGTACAATGTCACAGTTGGGCTGGCTGTTCTTATAGAACATACATCCCAATGAGGTGTGAAAACAAGCATGCAAGATATACCAGTAAACTTCAACTTATTCTTGGAAAATGGACTTGAAAGATGAATTCAATACAATGTAAAAATATTTAGCATCCATGCATAGTTTTTTCATAATAGGCCTTTTCCATGAACTGTTTCTTGAAAACAAATTATGATGTGTGTGTGTAGATATGTATATGTGTGTTTGTGTACTAATAACTAGAAGAGTCTGATAAGGGGAAAGTAAAGTATTGATAGGGTTTGCTTTTGATAGGTTTGTTGAGGAGGGTATATCATAGAAGATGAAAGCCAAAGAGAAATCTGAAGTTTGAGGATGAGGCATCAACACTCATAGTTGGGGAAGGCAGCTCAACCAGAGCAAAGGGGAGGAACAAAGGTCGTGGGGCAGATGTTGTGGTATGGAGAGGGGAGGGGGATTTAAGCACTATATGGGACACCCATGTCCCAAATCTTAGTGTTCAGGATTGAGTCCTGCCTCTGTGTTGTTGTTGTTGTTGTTGTTGTTATTTTTGACAGGCAGAGTTAGACAGTGAGAGAGAGAGACAGAGAGAAAGGTCTTCCTTCTGCTGGTTCACTCCCCAAATGGCCGCTACATCAGCACGCTGCGCCAATCCGGAACCAGGAGCCAGGTGCTTCTCCTGGTCTCCCATGCGGATGCAGGGCCCAAGCACTTGGGCCATCCTCTACTGCCTTCCCGGGCCACATCAGAGAGCTGGACTGGAAGAGGAGCAACCGGGACAGCAACTGGGACTAGAACCTGGAGTGCCGGCGCCCCAGGCGGAGGATTAGCCTAGTGAGCCGCAGCGCTGGCCCTGCCTCTGCTTTTGATCAAACTTCCTGCTAATGTGTACCCTGGGAGGCAACAGACGATGGTTCAAGTATTTGGGTCAGTACCACCCTTCTGGGAGGTCTGGATGGAGTTCCCGGCTTCTGGCTTCAGTCTGGCCCAGCCCTGATTATTGTGAGCATTTGGGAAATGAACCAGCGGATGGAGAATTAATTGATTTTTCATTCTATCTATCTATCTCTATCTATATCACTGTTCTGTTGGTCTGCCTTTCATATAAATATGGAAAGAAAGAAAAAACAAAGATTCTGGAGAGTTAAGATCTTGGGGCTGTTGAAGAACAAAACTAAGGCTAGGTGATTGGAATGCCATGAATGCCAGGTGAACATGAACAGAGAGGCCAAACCACATTGTGTAGGGCCTCTTATGGCAAGGTAAAAAAGAGAGGACTTTATTCAAAATGGGATGAGAAGTCATCGGCGAATGTTAAGCACCAGGACTGGAGGCAGAGAGGAATGAACATGGCTTTAGGGAAAAAAAAAAAGACTTCAGGCTGGTGCTGTGGCTCACTTGGTTAATCCTCCGCCTGCGGCGCCAGCATCCCATATAGGCGCTGGGTTCTAGTCCCAGCTGCTCCTCTTCCAGTCCAGCTCTCTGATGTGGCCCGGGAAGGCAGTGGAGGATGGCCCAAGTGCTTGGGTCCCTGCACCCACGTGGGAGACCAGCAAGAAGTACCTGGCTCCTGGCTTCGGATTGACACAGCACCAGCCGTAGCAGCCATTTGGGGAGTGAACCAATGGAGGAAGGAAGACCTTTCTCTCTGTCTCTCTCTCTCACTGTCTATAGCTCTACCTGTCAAAAAATAATAAAAATAAATAAATTAAAAAAAAAAGACTTCAGCTTTGGGGAATTAATTGGGAGGTGGTAGGCAAAAATGTTCTGCTCATTTCCACCTGCCCCAAACTGTGAGAAGTGATCGGTGCAATTCTTAATGACTGAAAAACAAGTGAAAACATCCTTTTTTAGCAAAGAATGAAAGCATAAAGAGAAGGCAAAGAAGAAGGGGAGGAAGAGGAAGAAGACAGGACAGTGGAAGGAAGAGACAGGAGGTCTAAGTGTCAGATTGAGATTTCACGGATTTACAAAAACCAAAATTCTTTGAGGATCACTTAAGACTCAGTATCATGTTGGAAGTTTTCTCAGTCTTCCCAATTATAATTTGCAGTTACTCAGGAAAAAATAAATGAACAGTCTCTTCCACCTGCCTCATTTAGCCAAAGGCCTCTAGTGGCAGCAGCTGTCTTGAGCACTCAGGCATTGAAACATTACCAGCAGGGAGACAATGTTATTGGAGAAGGGAGGTTCAGGTGGTGAGAATTGCAGCCTCTACTTCCGAAGACGAGGTCAACTTCCCACGGGAATAATGCCTCTACTTCCGGAAATTAGTCTATTCTTTATGTGCCATTTTACTCATCCCTATAACACAAGGTAGTTTATTTTAGGAACATAAAAGGAAGTTAATGTCTAAAGGGATATTTTGGAAGAAATTAATGATTTTTGAAATCTGAGTATTTGTTTCTCTTTAAGCAGAAAAGAGAAACTTGAGTTCATTTCTAGGGGTATAGTTTTATAAGTTCTGTAAAGGAACACAGAGCTGTATAAGATGTCTAAGAGTGGGTGATGCCCCCATTTCTGTGCCCAGGTGCAATGGTTTGTCTGTGGAAATTCTAAAGCAGATCCTCGCCTCCCAGGACATCTGATCAGCTACCTGGCTCCCGGTGATTTCATATCGTTTCATGGCTGTTATCTGTGTTCTCTGGTAACGACTGTCCCAGGACAACTCGGCCAGGCTCACTCATCATGTTTTATTGAAAGCAGTATACTCCCAACCTCTTAGTCACCACAGTTACATATTTACTAGAGGAGAACTTCCTTCTCTGGGTGTCTGGACTACGTTTTCCAAGCACAGGACACTGACCCAACCCTCTCCCCCTCCCTCCCTCTCTCCTTTCCTTCCTACTTTCCTTTGTACAGTGTTAGTCTTCTAATGACCACTATAGCACATCTTCTCCCAGCACCCATACACATCCCTTAACAAATAAATTTCTTAAGCTGTGTACAGGGTAAAAATGTATCTAACTGCAAAAGAGAGAATCAAATTAAGAGGCTTTAGAAAGTATCTCCTCTTCCCAACACACACATTCCCATTTTGCTTTGAAACACACATTACAGTCTAAACCTTCCAAACTCCAATTTTCTGACTTGAAAGTGGCTTCACAACTCTTTTATTTGGAGGTAGATTCTTTACAGAACCCTAAGTATAAATAAAATAAATTTCAGGAAATCAAATTTCATTAAGATTAACATGATTTTAGGAAAGACCCAGTCACAGGCTGAAGAGACCAAAGAATCCAAAAAACAGTGTTCCTTACGCAGCAGACCTACAAGTGGCAGAGGGCAAAGCCAATGACAAGCGAAGACACTGAAAGTGAAAAAATGAATCAACTTGTTTACATCAGTCCCCACAGGACCTTTCCCTGTCTCAACACAAAGATGAAAGGGAAGAAACCTTCCCTCTTTACCCCCATTTATTCTGGTGATTCTATCCTGCTGGAGGTGGTTGACTAAAATTGGTATTCACTAACAAATCACAAAGCCTTAGCATAGTGTGGCAGAAGGAGCATTAATGATAAAAAGGCATTATCCTATACTTAGTCTCTGAGATAACAGTGATTGATTCTCCTAAGGAACAAAAGTGGTAGTAATAATAATAATAACAATAATAATAGCGAATCTTTATGGCAAATTCTGTGTATTGAAAACTTACTAGTGTCAATGAGACCTGGAAGAGTTTATTTACTAATACCACTGTATGGATCAGGAAACAATAGCTTAAATACAGCAGTTCACAGACACAATACTTGGTTAATAATAATTAACATTTACTGAATCCTTGTTTCAGACACTTACTTGATCTATGGGTATTAACTAATTTAATCATGATCAAATTCCCAAGAGTTAAAACTACTATACTCCATTGTACAGAAACTTGGGCTTACAGGTTAACTAGTTAGTAAATTATGGAGCCAGGATTACAAAGGCAGTTACAACAACAGTAAATGGTAGAGACAAATAGACTTGATCTGTAAGTGTTTGGCTCCAAATCTAGATCTTTCTTCACCATGATGCTATATAGTCCCTCAATTAGAACCATAAAATTAAGTTTTTTAGGACTATGATGTATTCAATAACTGGGCAATTAAAGTGTACATCTGAAAAAAAATCTATATATAACATCCACCAGCTAAGGCCAACAAAATCTATAAACTGTAAGGTGCTCAAAAATGATCAGTTTGTTTTTTCCATTAGTCTATCATAAATTTTTCTTCCATAGTAAATAATAAATGTATTAAAACAAAGTGTTAACATGAGACCTTGAGTTTATTAATATTATATTTCCTGAATTTTCTTGCATTCCCTTAAATTGTTAACATTTTGCTTCTCCTCTGGTTATTATTATTAAAGAAAAATAATTTGTAGTATGT